TAATAAGTAAGTACAATTTTATCATATGTTTTGCAAATTCATTTTCCTAATTGTAATAATATTTTAAACCGTTAGATTTTTGCATTAAAGTTTTTTTAATTGATTGATGATTGATTCAATCAACTATTTTGTTGATTGTATTAACTTGATTCTTTAGATATTGAAAATTAAATAAATAACATTATGTTAATTTAAGCGTACAGAAAGAAACGTTGCTGTTGTTCCAGCAAAGATCTTATTTTCACTTTACCGAGTGCCTAGTAGGTAATTCGCAGATTACCTAGGTAATTTGAGAAATGGAATAATTTTCACAGCTTTAACGGATCACTCTAGTTAATCTGCAGATTAGCTAGGTAATCTGAACATTAACGGATTTCGAGCTTTAGCGGTAACATATATATTTTAATATTTGAGAGAGTCAATATAAAAATAAATTTTTAATTATTTGTTTTTTTTTATATATAGGATGAGAAAACTTAAAATTTCTAATGTGTTATATGTATTGCTACATTATATATATAAATTAATTTTTGTTTAAACATAAATCAGTATGTTTGTAATAGCTGCAGAGCTTAGTCTATTACAGACAGTTTTTCATAAATTTTCTGTAGTAATATTGTAAATATGATGAAAACAAGATAAAAGATGAACATCAACATTATGCAACTAATCTATATCTATTTGTATCTATCCATCATGTTAAGTCTATTTGATTGTAAAATTTTTGAAAGGTGATAAATCTATATTAATGTTTATTTAGTAATGGTTTCAGATTTAGTTTCATTTATTAACCATCTATATTTATCATTTCTTTTTAGTTTTTGATTAGAAAATTTTTAATAACAGTTTAAACATCTACACAAATAAGTTATTAATATATGAATAGAATGAAATTCTTGTATTAAATGTATTATACATAAAAGTATTAAATTTAATATTAACAATTTGCTTAACAATAACCCTCAATACTAAAAGACAGATTTTTTTTCAGATTTTTAGGTATTTGGTTATTATGGTTTTTGATCAGTTTTTATATATTTTAGAATAGATGAATAGGCAGATTCAGTTTTCGTCTTTAGAAAACTTTAAAAATTTAAAAAAATTGATTCTTAGAAGTATTTAAACAAACAACATCGCTAAACCCGATATTTTATAAAGCTAGACATCAACCAATGTTGAATTCTATCGGGCTAGACATGGCAATATTACTAAATAAATTATGCAACCAGTTTGGCACTAGATAGAAGTGTTAGGCACCATCTCTTAATAACTGTAATAATTATAATTTTTAATTATATTAAGAAATAGTTGCTTAACGCCTCCCTCTAGTGCCAAATTGATTAAAAGACTTGTTTATTGGGTTGTTCGGAAAGTAAGTTCATTATTTTTTCGTGGAAAAAAATACAATATTTTTATAATAAATAAATATTTTATTGAATTATATATCGACTATTTTGGTCAAATACCTGTTGTCATCATTTCTGGTAGTAGCATGATTTCACATTCATAAAAGTTTTGATCATTGCTTACAAAAAACTGATCCAAGTGTTTTTTGACATTGTCATTTCAAGTAAATGTCTTAATTTAAAAAATTTGTATAGACCGGAACAAGTAATAATCTGAGTGTGCTCAATCTGGCCAATATGATTGGTGTGATAGCACATCCCATCTAAGTTACAACAGTTTCTGACAAGTTATCAAACTTGTGTGAAATTTGACATTATCATGGTAAAACACTACACTTGTTTTGTTGATCAATTCTGGCTGCCTTTTTTGTTTGATGATATTACTCAATTTGTTTACTCTATGGCAGTACACTTTCAAATCCCTTGTTAAATTGTCTGGTAAAAGCTCCAAAAAAAAAAAAAAAATTTCTTAAAATCCCACCAAAGAGAGCATCTCTCTTTAAGAACATGTGGAACCCATATATCGAAACCAATTTGTTTCAAGTAATCATAAACAATTCAATTTGACAAATTTAATCTCTTAGTGATTTCACGTGCTGTTATTCGGCAGTTTGCTTCAATCAGTACCTTTATTTTGTGTTCATTGGCTTCAACTGGCCATCCAGAACGTGGAGCATCTTTAATATTGAAATTGCCAGAATGAAATTTTGTAAACCAGTTTTGGCACTGTCATTCTGTCAATACATCTTCTCCATACACGTCACACAATTTTTTTCTCGCTTGAACAGCATTCTTACCTTTTCAGTAATAAAAGAGAGAAAATATGCTGAAAATGCTGCTTTCGATCTTCCATATTTGATAGGACACAAAAAAATAAACAATTGCACAAAATCAAACAAAATTTTTTACAAATAAGCCTTAAAATGCTAGCTGTCAAAATATATAATGATAATACGGTTTAGAATGAAAATGGCAGGAAAAATATGACTAATCCGTCTAGTGGTAAAAAAACGAACTTACTTTCTGAACAACCTAATAGTAATATTATTGTGTCTAGCCCGATAAAATTCGGCATTGGTTGGTATCTAGCATCTTAGAAGTATTTTTATAAGTTTGTTTAATGAACGGTAATTAAAAATGTGTGTGTCAGTAATTTAATGTACAATAATTTTTATTTACACTGTAGTTACACATAAATTTTTATTTAAGTTTTGCATAAATTGTGTATATATCAAATATTTTATATAGAACCATTTTGTAATATTGTTCTGAGTTTTTGTAGAGTTTTATTTTGTATTGCTTGTTACAATAATCTAGTTTCATTGTACTTGAAAAAAATCTTTGAAGTAAATATAGCTTTATCTACAGTTGTTCAGTAAAAAGATCAAAGAAAATGAATATGAGTCATGAAAATGTTACAAAGAATTTAAGAAAATAAATTTCAGAAATTTTATTACTGTACTAAGTTATGGATGAATTTTATGCAAATAAAACATTTTATCTATACTTTTGTAAAATATCAATAATAATTTTAAAATTATATATTAATTTAAATTTGTATGAAAAGTAAAGCCAAAGTTCATTTATCTTATTTTTGTTCATTTGATTGTATTACAAATAGATATTTGGCATAAACTTTTAAAATTTAAAGAAAGAATAAATTGAAAAAATATTTTTAGATGATTTTCACTGATTGTATTATTGGATGATGTAATGCTTTCTTTAGTTATTTTTTAGTATGAGTTATTGCAATTATTATTTTTAATTTTCCTATAGATTACAACCTATGGCCACAGCAACCTCAAAGTTGAAACCAAATGAAAATTTCTGGGAAAAAAATTCAAGATTAAATCGGCCACTTTCACCTCATCTTACTATTTATAGGTAAATTTTTTCAATGTATTGATATATCTTTCTAGTATGAAATTAAATAGCTAGTTTCTTTAATTTAAAATTAAGAATTTAATACCCACTACACACGTTCTCTACTACTCTGATATACAGTTAACATCTTGATTTAACAGATTTTGGAAACAGCAAACCAAAAGAATAACAAAAGTCAAATCTTGTGTTAAGATTTACACAATGGTTAGTTTTGTCTTGGTTAAATTAAATTAGATTAGGATTTTTAACATTTTTTTATATTCATTTTTATGTTTTAAATTGTAATTTTATCATAGTATACTAATTTACTAGTTTTTTTATGATTTTTGGATTTATATTATTTTGATACTCTTCAGAAAGTATAGCCAATTGGTAGGTATGGACACTGTCTTCCCTATTAGTCTAATGAATCCTATATTGATAGTATTTCTAAATAATACATAAATATAAATTTAGCAGTATATCAAAAAATTATATATCTATCCTAAAAGTTTATTAAATTTCTATAATTTATAAATTTGAATTTATAATTAACAGAGATATATCAATAATTAGTATTGGTTGAGTATCAGTATCAGCTATTCCTTAATTGTGTCAGTAGAAAGCAATTTCATTGATTTTTTTTTTAATGTAATATCACATAAATTATAAAGTAAAAGAAAATATTAAAAATGTTTATATCAGTTTTTTAATGTTAATTTATATTTATAAGTAAAAGAATTTTTAATTAAAATTTATCCTATCCTACTTTGAAGTAGTAATGCTATCTAATGGAAACAGGAATACACTTCACAAGGCAGTACCAATACCAAAATAAATCTTTATTGATGTTAATAAACTTAGAATTACAATCAATAAGTAATATAATATCCTTTACTTATTGATTGTTCTTCCAATTAATGTTTGGTTCAATTAATTTAAGAATTTGGGTATTATTATACCTTCCAATACTTTTGCTGATAAAAAATAATTTTATCAGCAAAAGTATTGGAAACTAGCAGGCATGAGCCCGGCGTTGCTTGGGCAAAAAATAACAACAGCAAAGATTAAGATTATTAGATTATTTCATACGTCTAACCTTTTTACTATATTATATTGTAGTATTTCATTTATATTTACAAAGGTTATCTTATGTAACAGTTTATCACACTGAGTGCCCAATCTAACACATTTAAAAAAATTGTTTAAATTGTGTACAGTAGAGGAATAAAGAATTTTTAAAATTTGTGAGATTGGTCATTTGGTCTGATAAACCTTTACTTAAGATAACCATTATAGTTATATAGCTGATCTTACCCATTTTCACTGGGTTTTTGCACCCAGTTAGGTCCCCACTCTTCTGAAGTTAATTAGAAAATTTTTATATGGGTCTAAAAATATATTCAATTTTCTGCAAAAATGCAAAAAACTGCATCTAAAATAGTACAGTAGAAGCTGAGTTCTTCAGGGTAATCCTTAACCCTTTCTCTCTCCCTTGTGAGGAGGGGAATTTAAAAAAATCCCTTTTTAGTGTACATTCTCATGACCACAGCCTACAATAAGAACAGCCTAGTCAAATGGGGGAAATCCTATTGAGGTGTTGTGTCCAAGTGAAAATATTTTCTCACGCTAGATGAAGCCACACAACGGACCATAACAACACACTGANAATTTTTAATTAAAATTTATCCTATCCTACTTTGAAGTAGTAATGCTATCTAATGGAAACAGGAATACACTTCACAAGGCAGTACCAATACCAAAATAAATCTTTATTGATGTTAATAAACTTAGAATTACAATCAATAAGTAATATAATATCCTTTACTTATTGATTGTTCTTCCAATTAATGTTTGGTTCAATTAATTTAAGAATTTGGGTATTATTATACCTTCCAATACTTTTGCTGATAAAAAATAATTTTATCAGCAAAAGTATTGGAAACTAGCAGGCATGAGCCCGGCGTTGCTTGGGCAAAAAATAACAACAGCAAAGATTAAGATTATTAGATTATTTCATACGTCTAACCTTTTTACTATATTATATTGTAGTATTTCATTTATATTTACAAAGGTTATCTTATGTAACAGTTTATCACACTGAGTGCCCAATCTAACACATTTAAAAAAATTGTTTAAATTGTGTACAGTAGAGGAATAAAGAATTTTTAAAATTTGTGAGATTGGTCATTTGGTCTGATAAACCTTTACTTAAGATAACCATTATAGTTATATAGCTGATCTTACCCATTTTCACTGGGTTTTTGCACCCAGTTAGGTCCCCACTCTTCTGAAGTTAATTAGAAAATTTTTATATGGGTCTAAAAATATATTCAATTTTCTGCAAAAATGCAAAAAACTGCATCTAAAATAGTACAGTAGAAGCTGAGTTCTTCAGGGTAATCCTTAACCCTTTCTCTCTCCCTTGTGAGGAGGGGAATTTAAAAAAATCCCTTTTTAGTGTACATTCTCATGACCACAGCCTACAATAAGAAAAGCCTAGTCAAATGGGGGAAATCCTATTGAGGTGTTGTGTCCAAGCGAAAATATTTTCTCACGCTAGATGAAGCCACACAACGGACCATAACAACACACTGATTAAGTTATCCTAGCTATATGCTGTCATATATTCGTAAAACAAAACAGAAATTCAAACTTAGGATATAGCAAATTATTGGCTTTTTTAATTAAGATTTTTTCCGAATTTCTGCATAACTATCTAAAACAATAGACATATTATCAATAATTATCTAGACGGTTAAATGCAATAATTAATAGGGTAGATGTACAGTACTGTACCTATTCTGACCACATTAAGACAATTTTCAACTTTAAAAATATTTTATATTCTTACAATTTTTTAAAGCAATGAAACATAGTAAAAATAGTATACAAAAACATGTTCTCTGTTACTTTATTACATTAATTTTTATTAATATTAACATTTTATAAACAAAATTTAAAATTTTAAAAATATTACAAAAATCATCAGTTTTCACCATCCCATTTTCACCATGGTTTATAATCTGATTCCAGAAAGTGTTTACTGCAAACAACTGACCAGTCACTTGGCTTCCAAAGTTTTGAATTGTTTTCATATGTAAATTTTAAAAAGAGTTAGCTTATACAGTAAATCTATTAGTTATACTATCTATAAATAATTTGTAAGCATAAATAGATAAATTGTACAAAAGTTTAAAAAATATAGCTTTCAAAAGTTTTAAAATATAGCCTAATCTCATTGCAATTAGGAGTCGTGCAAAAACCGTACTTGTCCTCATTAAGGGGGGAGTTATATGTATTTAATTTTTTGTATTTAAAAAGCTGAAATTAAGTGCTTTTCAAGTACACCCATGTAGTTTTTAGCAATGTCTTTCAACTGTTTTTGAAATATCCGAGAAATTCGATAAAAGAAAGTACTGTAATATATAAATTTTCGGGGGTTGAAATTTTCCATGTGCTTTTTCAGGGGGGTTTTATAAAAGCCACAAAATATCACAATGGGAAGGGGAAGATGAGATTTGGGAAATATGGGGACACGTGGTTTTTGCACGAACCCTTACAGCATATAAAATAATTGCAAAAGTAGCATCAATGGATGTAGCATAGATGTTATAATTTTTCCTACATTATTTAACTATGGAGCATTAAATAAATCTTACCTTTTCTGCTGACAGCTTTTATCCATTTTAAACGTAAATTCTCTTCCGCGGGATATTCGTGAAAACTTGTCCCATTTTTTTTCGATTTGTTTGATGTACAAAATGGCACAGAACAATGAACCATTTTAAATCAAACCTTTTAAAAATTCACCAGTATCTTGATATAAAATATTTTCGAAATTTTAATTTTTTTAAATCTATCATAAGCACGTCTTTGCAACAGATTTACCGTTGATCACTTGATCGAATAGTCCGGTCATCAGCACTCCTAGTGAGGATTATGTGCAAACAGCCTCAGGAATCGACACACGTATTCAAAGCAAATGGCTAGGCTGTTCTTATTGTAGGCTGTGTCATGACATACCCTAACTGTGTACCAAATTTCAACTTTCAACTCCTAATCATTTGGCTCTGCACTTATTATCATTATTATTGTTATCATCATCAACCCATCTTGATTATAAGATATGTAATGCCCTATTATTAATAACAGAACATAGTTACTTTTTTTAACAACCAAGTCTATATTCAGAAACAAGGCATATCCATGGGTTTCCTACTTTCAACAATTTTAGTAGAGTTAATTGTGAGAAATATTGAATTTAATATTTTCTCTGTATCTCTCATAACCTGTTTTCTGTTCCTGTACATCAGGTATATAAAGATTTTTTAGCATGACACTGACAAGTTATCACAGTTTGTACAGCTTTTGTTGTTGGTAGACTGTTCTATTAGTTTTACTATAAAAAGTGAAAAAGACAAGATTAATTTTCTGTATCTAATTTATAGAACTTCCACAGGCCTTAGCTATGGCATGCATTATAAATTTATTTTATGCCCTTACATAATACATGCCACATCTTTCCAACCACCAGTGTATATTAATAATGTCATTGCTGCACTTATCTATAAGTTTTATTTGTTTCCATTGTCACAATATTTAACACACAAGAAATTACAAATTATTGCAATAGCAGCCCAGAAAGTGGAATATATGCCTGCAAAATTTAAACATATGAATACCCAGATATGCATGTTGCTCTTCTCACATGCAGTATTAATTATTAAGAAAATGGAGATTATATTTATAACCCCATCTATTCTATACCTAGAGCCCATCTTGTTATTCAATCCCAGAAATTTTAGAAAATGTGAGCCTAATCTCTCAAGTAACCACATATCACATACAGACTCCTATACAATGAGAGAGATGTATGATCCACATTAGAAACATTGAGTGTTTATTTTTCATTTTGACAGCTAAATAGTAACACAAATCTCTTTTTACATTGGGGAAAATTACAAATCTGATTAACTGAATACCAGAACAATATCTGTAACAAGTGCTCAACAGAATTTTCTAGGTGTGTGGTGGAACAAAATTATGTATCTGTATGGAATGAGACTTTGCTTCATTTAGTGTGTTGACAGAAAATTACTTTCATCTGGGAGGCTTTATTCTTTGAAAAATTGGGACCCAGTAATAAATCCACATTGAAATTCCCAAGAATTTGGGTATCATTCTTAAAAGTTTGGACTTATAACTTATCACCATGATGTTACTTGTTGTAATTCTAAGTTTATTAACATTAATAAGTAAAGATTTATTTTGGTGGTGGTATTGCCTTGTGAAATGTATTCCTGTTTCTTTCAATACATTTGCTACTGTTTGTTTTTAGTGCTAATGTCTTTCCATGAGTACTATTTTCATGACTAAGTTTATCTAAAATGTAACTTTTCACTTTTCAAACATTTTGTATATATATTATGTTTTCAAACAGTTAACATGTATATTTAAATTTTATTATAATAATGTTCTCTTCTTCATCTGAAGATTACATTTATAAAATTTTGAAAGTGCTGCTTGCAATGATGTTATACCTAATAAAATTGTTTAAAAACTGATAGACAATGGTTATTTTGTTATTTAATTGGAACATAATTCATAGAAAAATAAGTACAGGCTATCATTTTAAAGAAAAAAAATTTTTTTCAATTTTTGAAAGATTTGAATTGAAAGATTTCTTGGTATTATCAATTAATAAGCTTCAATAACATTTGTATAAGCTTATAAATTATATTTTCTTAGATAATATTAAAAAAAATTGTTATATTAATACAACTTGAAATTTAATTCAGGTACTGCTACATATATTGCTTGAAATAGACATTGTAAATTGATGCTTAGTATGTAAATTATTGTATTGCTAACATAATATCAGATTTACATTTAAATAATGAAATTTTGATAATTCAGAAGCATAATAAAGATGCTTTAGTCAGTATGCAAATTTAATGTTTATCTTTTACCTAAATCGTAATTAATGATATAAATAGCAATATATTATTTTATTATTTAGAAAAATAAGTATTTTTATGCCAAAAAATTCTTTATTTTTCAGTTTTCAAATAACATCAGTGCTATCAGTCACTCATAGAGGAACAGGCATTGGTTTGGGTACAGGTAAATTTTATTTTTCCATTTTTATTATCTGATATTAATTTTAGATTTTAGTAACAACAACAGAAATATAGACTTATTAATTAGATTAATTAGATTGTATTATATTGTTTGTTTTATTTTAATAAATATACAGTTTTTAAATAATTTGAATTAATGTTTTTATACTTGTATTTGGTATTGATTTCTTCAGTGGAAATTTATTAATATTTCATTTGAATGAATGCTTAGAATGTAAAATTAAAATTATAGTGCTTTATATCTTTGTAATGGTTAGTGCATATGTACAAACTAAATTAAACTAAATAAACACTGAAAGATTAAAGAAATCAATTTTTTATGTAGATCAGTGTTTCTCAAAGTTTTGATATCCATGTATTCCTTCTTAAATTTTTCTAACTACCAAGTACTCCCTAGTCAAAAAGAAAAACATTTTTTCAAACTACTCAAATACAGCACTTCTTTATTCAACTGAACATTTGAGCATTATTATAAAAAAAATTTTTTGAACTGAATTGAAGAAAATTTTATATTTTGAATGTAACATGAATCTGTATATGTAAAATGAAAATGAATGTGTACTAAATATAATGTTATNTTTGAATGGAAAATTAAATATTATTAGATTCTTCTTAGTCGTTTCGTTTAACATTTTATCAATTTCAAAATCCACCATACCTTTTAGCTTGCTATGCGAGTCCGTTCTTTCTTCTAATATACGTAGTTTTTTGTACATGTCCTTCATCTCTTCCTTTATCTTTAAATTTTCTTCATTCATACGGTTAATTTCAGCTCTCATAGAACGGATTTCGACGTTTAGACGATCAAATTTGTCTTGGATTAATTCATAAACTGATTTCAGTGAGTATTCAGGTTCAACAGTCTTTGTTCGTAAATCTTCTTCCGGTTCAAAAAAATCTTTTATTGTACCATACCTTGAGATATCAGTGTTGTTCTTGGATTGTTCCTCAATTAAGTATTCTTCTCCTGACATTTCGCTTGTCTGAGTATTTTCCTCTATATCTCTTGTATACTGTCTACGTGGTCTTCCTCGTCCCCTTTTTTGCATACCTGCTTGACTTGGTAATGGAGGAGATCGAGGAAGAGGTCCGGGATTTAACTCAATACCAGCAATCATTAGTAGAATTAGAATTATTATTCGAGTTAATAAAACATTTAAACTACATATTTCAGTTCTAAACTTATTATTTTGTTGTAAAAATTCCATGTCTAACGTCGCCACAACAGCTCAGCAAAAAAGTCCTTAATAAACTGATTTAATTTTCTTCGTAAATAGTTATTTAATATTAAATTATAAAGTTATTAAAAATATTAAATTATTGATGAAAGCAATTCATAATATGGTGTACAAATATTCATAAAAACATATCAGATATGTTTTTATGAATATTTGTACCACCATATTATGAATTGGTTGCTGAGAAAGTTACTGGTATTCTGTAAATTTTAAATTAAGTTTACATTTAAATTCTGTAAAAGTATTGTTTGCGTATATAGTATATATTTTTTTTCTGATTATTCCAAAGCATTGTAGAACAATAAAATACATTTTTCTGACCCTCTATATTGTATTGAAATGGAAGTTTTTGATTTTCTCAAGAATATTTATAGTACCATCTGTAACAGACATTTGAATATTATAAATTATTTTATAAAACAATAATAGTAATGATTGAATACTCAACATATGAATTGAATTGACACTATACATTTCATAAAGAAGTAACACAGAATGGGTTTTAGTATTTTAGTAAGTAGTAAAGGTTGGTAGATATATGTAGTTGCAGAAGGTGCCTATTTTGAACATTAAATCAACCTCTGTAAATAATTTTACTATTATGTAATAACAGTTATATTAAAAGTTTCATTTATTTTTGATTCTGTTATGTATAGCACAATTATCATTTAAAATCAATATACTAATACTTAAAATGTTTTTAATAAAAATTTCAATTTTGTCTTATTTCAGTTTTGTATGGATTTGCGGTTGGGACTCTCCTATTGCCTTCTAATTACCCACATTACATTGAATGGTTAAGCTCATTACACATCAGTCCATTAATTTCTGTAGTTAAATTTGGGTTGGCATGGTCTTTTTTCTTTCATTATTTTAATGGAATAAGACATTTAGTAAGTAATATTAATAATTAATCATTTTAAAATTGTGTTTTATTGCATTGATTTTATTGATAATGTTATTTCAGGCATGGGATGCAGGCTATGGATTTGAATTGAGTAACTTGTACAAGTCTGGTTATGCTGTTTTAGGATTATCAACCATTTTGTCTCTTCTTGTTTTATTTGCTTAGTTTAAAATAAGTAGATTTTAAAATTAGAAACTAGTGTTAAACAAAATGTAATCTACAAAGACATATTTATGATATATTGGACTTTGTATAATTTGGAGACTATTGGAAATTTAAAAAAGAACACTGTTTTTTTTAACAATTTAAACAAGAATTTAGTTGGATTTCATTTGAATTTAAATAATTTTGTAAAAGTTAAGTACTTTAATATTAAATAAACTAAGCATAACACATGTTAAAAATTTAAATTATTATTAAATAAACAATAAAATAATAATATTTTATTGAAATGATTGGAAGTTATGTTTCATATATCATAAATTAATTATGAAAAAGAAAGATGAAATCCACTTTCATCTTACTTCCTCTTTTCATTTGATACAATTTTACTTTATATATTTATAATAATGATACATCAACACTTTATAATCCAAATTAATATATTTTATAATATTATATTATCAGTGTTAATAAGTATATCTTGGTTCTAAATTGCAACTATTTCATTTACATTAATGAAAATTATAGAAAGTGAGTTTCAAAGGAAGAAAATTTTCCAATGACATAACAAGTGATGCAGTATCATTATAAAGACAATACAGTATATTATATTAAATATCAGAATCATTTTCTTGGGCAGATGCAAACATTCTGAAGAGTTTAAATGTGATAGAAGTTTTTATATACAGTATATATGTTGCAGTCAAAACCAGTTTTTAGTTAGGATGCGTTTTAACTATTTGAAACTAGTTTATACTGGATGTCTTTGTTACATCAAGAATTTCCTAGTTATAACTAGAATTTACTGCTGTACGTGTTTGGATTTTAGATTTTACACGTTTTGAATTTTAGCTACATAAATATGCTTGGGGGAAATAAATAAAGTGATGATTGGGATTAAAACATTTGTATTATTTAATACAATATTTATTGAAAATATTGGTCATACATCTGTGTTATTAACATTAATTAAAGCAATATGAAATTAATCATGCACTATAGGAACATTTTTAAGGAAAATCACAGAGTTATGTTGGCAATATTAACACTAAAACAACAACAGTAATATTAATTAAAGTCATACAAAAATAATCATTCAATAAATGAACATAAATATAAAAATTAAGTTTACATTACTTGTTATTGCAAAGCAAACTATCATGGCATTTCAAGTTACACAAGTTACCTTTTTTCTTACAAAAGCATCGCTTCGACGTACATGCCTTTTTACACAAACAGTGAACAAATCCTTGGCCTATTCCTAAGGCTGCTCTTTTGGCAGTAGTTCTTAAGATACATTTGTCTCTGGCACTCCTAGTAGCAAGAATTTTTCTTTGGACATGTTGAATTCTGATCTGAACAAGTACATTTAAGTTTTCAAATAGGTTCATACTTATTTTAAATTGATTCTTTAATTAATAATAATTATGGTAAATTGTGCCCAAAAAAGGAAAAATATTTTTTCATAATAATTAGACCTCAAAATATTAATGAATTAACTGCATAGTTAGTAACATTAACTTAAACAGTGGCAAAATTGAACAATACATACCTGCAATACAATTTATCAAGTATCCCATATTTTGTTCCAAATTTGTGCAAACCGTGTTCATCATTTTGAAGACTCACTCCAATAATATTATGAAGATCTGCTTTTGCTCTGCCGACATCAGGAATTGGTATAATTATATTATCACCGTATATTCTACAAGAGCATATATTGAATCCAAAGCCAATTTCATTTTCTGTGCCTGTTTTTTCCAAGTTTAGATGAGCTTTTTCGCTTGCTGCTATTATTTGGGTCTGTTGATTTGTATTAGCTACAGCTTCTGGATCTTTGTCACTAGCTGGTATTATTTGAGGCTTTGCACTCATACTATCTGCATCTTCTGGGTCTTCTTGACTGTCTATTACCTCTAGCTACATCAGTTACCTCCACTGAAACATCTAATATTTCCACATCATTGGATGCCTTCTTTTCTTTATCTATCACATTAATTTTATTTAAAGCCTCTTTCAGATCATCATCATCTCATATCTCTTTAATAATATCTAGAGGCAAACTTGAAGTCATAAGCCCTACTCGCGGCTCTGTACCAAACATGGCTTTATATGGTGATTGCTTAATACCAGAATGAAGTGCCCAATTTTTCATAAATTGTGCAAAGTGAAGACCGTTTGACCAGTTTGTATTGTTGTTGTCATGCATCCACAAAGCCAACATTTTTTGAATGTCCTGATTACTCCATTCAATTATATTTTAATACACTATATACACTATAAAATTACACTATTTTATTAGGATGTAAAGTAAAAATTATTTTTTATACTTTTAAGGTGGATTTGTGTAGTTAAAACATAGCTTTTTTTTATTAAAAATAAAGAAAACAGAAACAAAAATCAAAGTGATAAACATATCAGAATACTTTTAACTATTATTTGCAATTCCCACATTACTAGACAACAATTATTGATTACAATCAGTAAATATTGCCTCATACATTATTTTTAATAAAATTCAGTTAATTAAATCTTTTTAACAGTGTAAATTCAATAAAGAAGACAATGACTTTAGGGCGTTTATTAATGCCTTATATTTTAACTTTAATTAGTTAGATTATATTAGGCTAATGTATATGCTTATTATTCTCTGTAATTTGTAGATGTTGCCTAGCAATGACAGATTTGTAAATAACATCTAACATTATTTTAATATAATTTATATTTTCCTTTCTTATCTAATTTTTTAATGCAAAAATCTTGTTTTGATTATATTAAACCAGATTGATGTGTAAAAATGATTTTGTTTACATCTAAATTAAATATTGTAATATTTGAATAAGTGATTCAAGTATTTGCTTTAGCATCCAGATTGGATGGTTGTTTAAATCAATTGTTTGTTCTAGTTCAATTATGGAACACAATTGGAGCAAGAACAAAGTTTTTTTGGAATGTATATGTAGAACATTCAGTTTAATTTAACTCTAATTGCAAGTTAAGGTTGAAACAGAACTTTATTGAAATATTTATTACATCTAAGAACATAAATTACATGGTATGTTAATCCAAAAAACTTTATTGGAATAGATGATTTCTTGTAAAAGAGAGAATAAAATTTAATAGCACTATTTTATTAACATAGTCAAATCTCACTATGGCCTACTTAAATAACAGTATCCTTTAATTAGGTTTTCATTACTGGTTTTGTAGACTTTAAAGAATTAAAAGCTAGTGGCTAGAATTAAAAAGTTGTTTATATGGTTTTTATTGAATCCTTCAATAAAACCCATATAAACAACTGCTCCTTGTGTGATGTGTTACTGAAGAAAGAAAGCCACTAGCTTTTAATTCTTTAAACATTATCCTTGTAAACAGATCTTTTCTGTAAATATTAAATAGAGAATTTTTTTGTATCTATGAATTACTATACATATAATTTTTCATTTCAAGTGACAATTATTTTTAAATTGTGATTTTTAAACTGAAACTTGTATCTAGGTCACATTATTATGTACAGGTATCCCACATATAATACAGTTTCAAATTTTGGGATATTCTCTGTAAAACATGACTTCTGGTTTCACTCTAACATGATTTTGGAAATCCAGCGTACAAAATTTCACAATTTTTAAATGTAAACTTCATTATTTGATTTTTTTTTTATTCAAGTAAGCATTTGTGTTGTTTCAAATTATTTTGTGTTTTTCATCAGTTTTCATTAAAGACAATTTTTTTTTCTTTCTTGTCCTAGCTCTCCTATCAACCAGGTCTCATGGTCATTGCTTTCAGACTTTAGCCCTTAATATTGTCAGTGTGTTTTGTTTTTATAGATTAATCTTTGTATTTAGTGAAGTTTATTTAAACATTTTTAGATAAGTGCTATTAAAGTTCTTTTAAACTGTATGTAAGCAATCATTTGTAAAATGATGAAGGTAATATGGCAGCATTATGGTACTGGAACAATTTGGTATTTGAACACAAATTCTGGAAAAAGAGTCACTCGGTACTCAACTGAACAAACGTGACCCACTAGAACAAATTTTCAATTAATAAAATTTTTATTTTGTCATCCAGAAAAATTTTTTATGATATAAATAAAAATATGAAAATTTTGCTGATACTTCTGATCAAGTTCAACAAAAAAGCTGAGATGACAATGATACTTTGTAAAAAGAAAATGCTCTGGCTTAACTAAAATTAATATTAATGCATAATACAGTACTTTTAATTGTGGTTGTTAGTTAATAATTGATTGGAAATAAATTATCAATTGCTTTAATAAACATATTTCTCTTAGTAACAAAAAAAATAGTACACTTTTGCTAACTTTTGGAATGTAACCCTGTTTTGTATTAATCCTTTGTTTCATATAGTATGAGTTTACATAACACAGCACTTTTTTGGAACATAACTACAGTGTTATACAAGGGATACCTGTATAATTATTTTTGTCTGAAGTATTTCTGTTTAATACACACACACGGTGGTGTCACTTTCAGAGGGAATAAATTGTGGCACTAAATCAAGTTTTGACTATGTAATTATTTCTAAAGTTTATCCATATTTAATAGAAATACTGCAAAATACTTAGATTTATGCATTGAAATTGAATATTAATAATATCTACAGTATATAAAATTGTTTACAGTCGACCCCCTATAACACTGTTGATAATTTTGTTTTATATGAATTCCATGTTGTATGAGTCACTTAGATTTTACAAATACGTGTGCCGGGCTGTGAATGGCTCCCGTATTTGTAAAAGCTAAGTGACTTGTACAACATGGAATTCATATAAAATGGAATTATCAACAGTGTTATAGGGGGGTTGACTGTACTTTGTACTTCATAATTGCAGAGAGAATAATTGGAATATAAATTCACCAACTTTGCACATAAACTATATATATTAAGAATAAACTTCAAAGAAGTGTACAACTTTAGAAAGTTGTACACTTCTTTGAAGTTTATTCTTAAATAGTTCTTAGACATGTTCAGTGCCTATTTCAAGAATTATTTTTAAAAATTATTTCAGTTACATGATTTTTCTTATAGGCATTAAATATATCTAAGAACATGTTTTGATGTAAAAAAGTCATCAATTATAAACACCTCAAAGGTTTTAAATTTTGAATAATCCAAACCTCAAATTAATGTACGTTAGATATAGATGGTAATTCAGACAAAAGTATAACTTGCAAGGAGTTTGGTTACAATTCAAGTTATACTTTAAAACACTAAAACTAGTGGTGAATAAACAGCCAGCTCATGGTGTCACCAAGTCTGACTCATAGCATCATCAAGCTCCTTGCACTATTACTTGTAAAACAACTTTTAGAATAATATATAGGTCAAAGTCAAGATTATTTTAGAATTTTGATAATTTTTAGGAAACGATACAAAGTCAATCTTGTGGTAACAATTTGTTTAAAAAGTTAGAAGGGAATCTGATTTGCTTGAAGTAAACCGAGTTAAAGGTATTGACCAAACATTAATAAATCACTAATTTTCTAACTTTATCTAAATTGTAAAATACTGAATGTAACAATAAAATAATGTAAATCCTAATAAGAAAAAGAAAGAAATTTTGATTTAAACAAGCTTAATGAATTTTAATAATTACTATTAGATGAAGAAAACAGGAAAATAACAAGCAATAAGCTCAAATTTTGGCTGATGAATCATAAAGCTTGTAACATAATGTTAATTTAAATGAATAATGTAAACATACATGTAAAAACTCAATATTATTAATTTAAATATAGAATGCAAAAAATGTCAGAAATTTAATGAATTTTTTTATCAAGATTTAAGAAGTTGCAGTTTAGTCAGAAGGTGGTATGCTCACACACACAATGAAAGTACATGGTCAGTGAATGTACTAGTAAATTTTACATCTTTACTAAAGTAATAAGTGAATCTTAAAGCATTTACAAAATTTCAATTTTTGATTGTCCTGAAAATCCTGAAAAATTGATGGTTGAAAATGAAGTTTCTCAGATAAAACTGTTACTTTAAGGACAATTGTATCTGCCCATACTTGCAGTACAAGACAAGGCTTTTTCAAATGTTCTTGCACTTTGAAATGCCAGACTATGAAATATAAATGCAAGAAGAATGACACTTTAAGCATTTCTAAATGTCATAACTCTTTGACTTGCTGCAAATAAATAAATAACATTAATTAAAAGGGTTTTTGTTGTATTTTAAATTTACTTTTCATAATCTCAGCCTGTAAAGATAAACAAACACACTAAAGACAGTATACAGTCTAGTGAATGTGAATTTATTATTTTAAAATGAACAATTTGTTTCACATTTACTAATTACTTTATTGAAGGTTTACATTCAGTATTAATAGATCACATTCATTGTAATGTATATATAAATATGTGTTTATATGTATGCCATTATTACTTGATACAGCAATGCATTTGATTTCTTTGTTTTGTGCGAACCAGTTTGCCAAAAGATTTCCAGTATGGATGATAAATAAGGAATAAAACCCATTTGAACTATTCATGAAAAATGTAGATTCCATTCTAACCAAATTCTTGAGAAAAAAACTTGTGTCCATCCTATGATATGTGATCTAGATTATTTTGGATTAGAATTTTCTTATTCATTCCTCATATATTGATTAACCCAAGTCAAGAGATTGTAAATTAGTAAAATTTTAGGGATTGCTCATAAAAGTTCATTTAAAAATGATGTAAAGTTTGATGATGATAATTTCATTTTTATATGTATAGTAGTAATATTTTATTTAAATAGTGCAACTGAACATTGAAAAATATATTCATTTTGCAATACTCTATATGTCCAAAGCTAAATGTATCTAATTAACTTTTAATATTATTCTCTACAACAATTTAACTTAAGAATTGATAAATTGTAAATTTTTAATTAATTACATTGATGTAAAGATTTATCAGTAAGCATTTAGAGACAATTTGTTTTTTATTTTTGCAACTTTTAAGGTTATTTAATTTAATATTTTAGAGTATTTAATTTCAAATAATAAGAACGATGAAAATCATTTCAAACACATACAAATGAAAGAATAAATTACTAATTACTGTGAAATATAACTTTATAAAATACATTGAATATACAAATACATATAAAAACGTTACAATACACTTTCACATTTGACGATTAGAAATTATCTTAATTCGCCAGCGAAAAATGAAAGAAAAAAAATATGATGAGAAAAAGAAAAATTGAGTCATTAATATACAATATATTTGATTTTTTTTCCTCTTTAAATAAATGTAAATTATATTTATATATGTATATATCTATATATTATTCAAATTTGATGAAATGTGTTTTGATCATCAAGAAATGCAAGTCTGGCAGTGGATAGGAGTTATTATACAGGGTGCTGGAAGTTATTTTCTACTTAAAGAAATCAAAAAGTCCAAAAATATTTTTAGTTTAGAATCATTTAAACGATTTTTATTTAATCACCATACACAGTTGTATATTGCTTTAAGCAATACACAGCTGTTGTGTATGGAAGTTTTTGTTAGTATGCCATTTTAAAAGCATTACATACAATTTTTTATGTTATAAAACAGAAAGATGCTGGAAGTAGTTCATGCAAATTTGCAAACTATCGTTGAAATTTATAAGTTATAAGAGAGAGAAATTACACATTGTGAATCTTGTAAATAATTGGGACACTCTACACCTCATTATATATAGATATAAGCAATAAAGCATAGAGATTTGGTTATACTGAATTATATTTTTCTTTATATAGATCTAAATCATTCTTTTACATTCTATACGACAAGTATGATTTATGTAGCATAAATTTTAATATCTAAGCATAAACAATGCTATAAAATTTTATTTAAAAAAATATTTTAAAACATTTCTAGACTTTTTAACCGACATTTCTTTATATAACTTCACATCTATTTAAAGCAAAAAACAATTTTCAGCACCCCAATTGTTTTTTTAGTACCCTGTGTATTTAAAACGTTTTAAGCACTCAAAACATTAATTACTGTTATGTAAAATATAAATCTAGATGGCAAATTTGTTGCATTTTATGTACTTGAATTAAACAATTTTCTACTTAGAAGTGGATATTTGCGGTCGTTCCCTTTGTCAAGGTCTCGACCCGCTATCTTTTTAACATCGCAGCAGCTGTTAAAAACACGATATCTTTAGAAAATGTTTACTCTGTGACTGACGATTCGGTTGCTAAGAGCTAGAGATGATCCACTTTTATACATTTTTCGTTTCCGCATTTTGTTGCAAGAATACGCAACGGATTATTTACAGAATTTTGTAAAATGACATTGCAAAAAAAAGAAAAGCAATTGATTCGAACTTGTGTCTGGTTTAGTTTAGAAGCAGTGGACTAACGTGAAAATAAATACAATAAATTTTAAATTTTGGGCTAAATATTTTAAGGATAACCTTCTTTTAACGGATTAATTCCTATATACGATTCTAGATCTAATTTCTTGTAGCAAGGGTCCTATAAGAAACGTTTTCTTCTAAAGGCACAATGGTTCATATCACAGTAATTTTGGTCCCAATTGATATTCCTCTCGAAGAGAATCCTTGCTAAATAATCCATTTCTTTTAGATTGGCGATTTCGCGCTTCCATCCGAGTTTTGCTTCGTATTTTCTTGCAGTCATCTACTCTTCAGTATCTTTGGATATACTCGCCATTTAATGATTCTTATGGCGTTTTATGCAAGATCACAATGAATCCACTTCGGATGTTACTATAACTTCTGGAGGAACCGATTCAGTTCGACTTTTCCTACTTTTTTCCCATCGCGAAATTTTTGGAAGTGGAAAGCACATTAATCCAGAAATGGAAATCAGAGCTCCAGCAATAAAGAATGACGCATCGTAACTTCCAGTTAAATCGAAGAAAAAACCTTAAATAAGTGATAAATTTTAAATAAAAATACTTAATTAACGATAAAAATTCTTAAAAAGTGAATTACCTGCAACGGGTGATCCAATAATTGTTGCAATTCCTTGAAAGAGTAGCAGCAATCCAAACGCATTGGTTAATTTCTCTAGTCCAAGAAGGTCCACTGCAATGATGGATCTCAATGCAGCGAAACAAGCTAAAAAAATTTTAAATGTTTTAAAAGTCATAAATAAATATTTTATAATTTAATTATCATTCATAAATTGTTTAAATAGTATTATATTGATTTTACCTTGAACTCTTAAACGATAATCTCTTACTAATGATAATTAACTAAAATTTTCCAGTTTAATTTTGATTTATTTGGCACATTTATTATTATTTTAACTGAAATTTTTAAAGATACTTTGATATTTAAATTAGTGATTCATCGATATTTAATTGGAACTTTAGATTCATAAAGAAAATACATATTGTAATTACAGTTTGTCACAATGTTTTTTGCTTTACTTCGAGCAAAATATAAAACAATTTTAATAAAAGTTAATGTTTTGAATGCTTTTAAGCTAAATTTTTAGATTATTTGCCTGTCGTAGGTTTGTTTATTATAAATTTCCTAATTTGAAAAGCAATTTATAGAAAAAAGTAAGACTAGAATTATAGGCAATTCACGTTAAAAAGTAGGACTAAAATCAGCCAGTTAATATTAAAAAAAAGCAGGAATAGAATGAAATTTTAGTTTTCGAAATTGATTTTATTATCGAGAGCAATATTTTATTTACTTCTATCTTTCTCCCGTTTGACCTAACAATGAAATTTGAACCGTGACAAAATACGTAATTTATTGCTTCGATATGCTAAAACGTGATCTACTAAATGGACTTTAATTAGGATTTAGAACACGTTCACAGATCAAGTCAAAAAAAAAACAAACTGATTCGTGCTTATCGAACGGGTCAAAATGCAATTCTTTTTATATTTTGTTTTAAATAAAAATAGACGTTGATATAAGAAAATAATTTTAAATAAAATTCGCCTAATATTTACTTGTAGATTAAACTAATCTGGAGATTAGTAATATCTTTAATCTCGGATTAACACATTTTATATGTTGATATTAGAATTAATCAAGTGTTTATTAATCGCCTAAATTTGACGAGTTAACTGTTTATGACTTGTAATGCAGTGAATGTGCTACTGTATTAGTGATTCGATGAAATGTAATGTTACGAAAGAGTAACATTGCATTTCATCATCATTCCACTGTTCCGGCTTTTCCCAGATCAGCTGAATCAATTTTTCCATTTTTTTTCTCAGCGTCTTAAACTAGACATCCTCCCGCCCTGCTCCAATTTTCTGAACATCTCCTTCCAACTGTTCTCTTCATCACCGCCCTAGATCATACGCACGATCTCTTGCTCTTTAGTATCTTTCTAGAAAGCGTATTCATTCTTTTCATCCAGTTAAACCACTACATTCTTTTCAAATATTATCACATTCCAAAATCTCATCATCATTTTATTTTAATATGATCGATTAAAAATTATCAGAAAATTAGACTATACTTTTCTCTAAAGAAACAAATTCGTCGATAGTCAAATGATACTTTACCTCTATAGTAATCTTTTGTATAGTGGTCTCGACTTTATTATGTATATCTTTACTACCTTTTCTCACCTTAGTTAATGATCAGACAGAGAAACAAACACAAATTTTTACATAATTATTCAATGATACTAGTTTTATTCGTAAATATTATACAGTTAAGAACGAATATTTGCTTTAGAATTCATCTAGTTTATGTCTCATGAAATTACAATCTAATTTTTAACAGAAATAGGAGGATGTTCTAAGCAGATCAACAGGAATTTTGCTTCTTTTTATATTTAATTTTAAATTAAGTATATATTTTCTTTTTTCTTTTTTTGTTAACATTAGATCTGTTAGAACCTTTTCCTTAGGAAGAACAGTATTAGATGGCTCTATGATGACTATGATGAGGAAATATTGCCAAATTTGAAATACAGTAATTATATCTTGGCTATATATTAACTGTGCCAAAATTTGACGATATAGTAATTCTTATTGCTTTATATTTAATGAAAAAAAAAGTGAACCTCTTTAACGACCTAATTGGTTTTCTAGACCTCTCTTAACTATGTTAAGAGGGGTCCAGAAAACCAATTTTTTAGTTAAGAGACAGTTCCGTAGCCATCATATTCTTATATGTTCAATTTCATAAATAGATACTACGTTTGCTGAATAGTTTTAACTTTACAATTCCACACACAAATGTCCAAAAAAAAGAAAGAAAAAAAAAAAGAGGAAAGATACGATATAGTCGTTAAAGGGAGGGCGTTAAATCGAGCATCTAAACCGAGTGCCTACAGTACACTAATGTAGACGATTTACAATACGAATATTTTTTGATTTAATTCGATAATTAAGTGCTACATTAAACAAATTTATAATAATAAATAATTGAATAATTGTGATCATTAAATTTATTCAAGTAAACTAAATAAAATTAATTTTATATATTAAGAGTATAATATAAATTCAGTAAAAAATCCTCGGACTTCTTATCTGGAGTATAAAAAGGGCAAAGTTTCGTGACGTAATTTCCTCTGTTTTAAGAATTTTTTAAAAACTAAATCCGAAAAGATCTTTTAAACATTTATTTTGAATAAATGAAGGTTATTACTGTTTTAAAATGTAGAAATGGTATAGAAGGGTCATTTTAATTTACAAAAACACGCACTTTCTATATCCATTAATTAAAAAAAATGTTAACGAATAAATTTGAAAATGTAGCTATTTTTAGAGAGACATTTTTACTCATTTTTCTTAATTTTCATTCAATTACTGAACATATTTCTACTTATAAAAAGGTTTTTGAGCGATAAATCAATGTTAAACAATAAAAATGATTCCACGAACTTTGACCTGCTTTCTCACAGTACGTATATTATTATTTTTATTTATTTATTTTATTTTAATTATTATTATTTTGCTTAGAATCTGTTTTCCTTCCTTTTGGATCTTTATTTATGCATCATTCCACGTCTAAATTTTTTTTTTAATTGAAAGACTGGTCTGAAAAAAATAAATGGAAAATTAACCATTAAAATTTTATAAAAGATTTTTGATCCAGTGCCCTTAACTCTTTTGAATGAATTTTGTTTAATTGCTTATTTTTGAGAATATTTAAAGTGAATTTCACACGTAGATTAGTAGATTCATCTCATTAACATGCTTTAAGTGAAATTTTCAAAGTGACCCAAAATTTATCTAACAAGTTTAATGCCTTATTACAATTGAACAAGGTATACAAATCTTGCGCAAATATCATACAAATCAAAATTTGAAGTCGTAGTGCATTCAATATGTTTGATCTGAACTTCAATGTCGATCATCTTCAATCTTATCTAAACTCTGATATTAGCTTTGAAGAATAGGGAAGATTTCACACTCGACAGATGGTTCGAGTTCCTCCACAGTTTTTAGCTGATTTAGTACACTTGATTTTCGAGATATCGTCATTCAGATATAGAAAAATGTGCAGATCAATCGACTTTTCTTTGATACTTTCCGTGACAATTGAAGTTGACAACAAACACTGAACACATTTAAGTGACTTCAAATGCTAATTTAAATAATTTATATTCGGTAAGAATCATTAAACTCGAAAAAGTTACCCTATATATATATAAAGGGTGAGGAGGATAATTATTAATTTGAGAATGCCAATTAGGCAATTATTTGTACCTTTTTATATGCAAAATTATATCAATAACTATTGAAATATCTTCCAAAAACTTATTAAACGATAATTATGAATATTTTTATTAAAAGAATGATAATTAAATGTGTATTTTTTTACGTTATTAAAGAGGACGCAAATAAAGTATTGGTCACACGTTGTATGAATTGTGTAATGAGTATATTTTATCTGTATGACTCATCATATAGATACAATAGTTTCGAAATAAAAAATATTCACTGTTTAGATGAACTATTTTAAAAATTTTGTTGTTCGAAACGTTTTGGAGCTTCTCTAATTAGTGACTGGCGGAAACAATCCGTGAATTGACCTACATTTTGGTAAAACGTGTACAATGATACGCAATTTCTCTGTCCACAAACATAAGAAATTCGATTTTTAACTAATGATAATTAAGCACTATCATTATTATGTGTTATGTTGATTACCTGTAGTTCCAGCCATTAATTTTAATCAAATTTCGATGTTAATAATGATATTGCTAATAGAACGTAAAATATGATCTATTTTGGGGTTGAAAAATGTTTAATTTCTTTGTCTTTCAGTCATTTAGGTGAACTGCTTTATTAATATTAGTAATAAAATTTATAATGTGTCACGAATACAAAGTAAATTTTACTTAAATAAAAAATAATTTTTAAATAAGAAATATTATTTTATATTTTTAATGTAGTTAGAATATGACGTAAGGAGGACTTCTTGTGTGGCTTAAATTTTATTGGAAACAGAAATAACTTTTAAATTCGAAGGAGTTATAACAAAAATTTTAAAGATTAAATGTTTTTAGGTCTTTTGCTAAATATATATAAATTAAACTTTATTTTAAAAAATAATAATAATAAAGCTTAATTTATGCATATACATATACTGAGCTTGAGATGAGTAATAATCAAAACAAATAGGAAATGAGAGATGATGTGATTTGTTGATGTGTGCCAAAAAGACAGAAGTAGAAAGTATATGAGATTATTCAATATATTTTTCTGAAAAATACACAGAAAAACAAAAAATTATTCATTGAATTAACTGAAAAAGATAAAAAGATACCATACATGTTTCTAATAGTAATATGTAGTAAGGGTTGGTCACTTTGTGGGATATTAGTGCCCCACAAAGTTTACCAACCCTTGCTACGTTTCCTCTAACATATAATACTGCTCTTGCTACCTGTTACAAATATGTCAATGTGGAAATAAAATTCTCTGTTTCAACAATGAGGCTCCTTATTTTTCAAACAAACTAAATTATATATTTAAAGTTGCAGTTAATTTCAAAGCATTTTCAATATAATATGATTTTCATGCAAAAGATGCATTAGTTTATTCAATATTTTATGACTTAATGATGGAAATTAATAATTTTATTTTATTATATTATAATTTATTCATAAATTTTTACATAAATAAATATTACTGTATTTTTTTATATTATCAAATGAAACAAATCGTGTCATAATTTTAAAAAACACTTACATTTTTGATTATTTTAAGATATGAAATTACATCCGGATGCATTTATCAAGAAAGTGTGTCATTAGTTGTTAAGAGGGGTGGTCTGTTGCTAAATAGGTGTAAGGAAGTGCAGCAACCATCAAAGTCTAGTAAAAGTTAATGTCAGATAGATTAAGAGAAATAAACTCTGATGGTGCATTAACATTAAAAATGCATTTGTTATTATTACTAAAGAAGAAAAAAAGATCAAGAATATATGAAATAATTTATAGAAGCATAAGATTATAGATTTAGAGAACTGAAAGTATGATTAGCTGATTAGCTTCTATACCTCTAAATCTATGCAACCTTATATCGTAATAAATGAATTAATCGTTTTTACAGTGTGAAAGTAAAAGTTGCATAGATTTAGAAGTACAGAGTATTTAAGTATATAATATTTCTAAGATTCTAAATCAAGGGTGGCCAACCTTTTTTACAGATGTGTGTATAAATAGGCACAAATTTTTTGGTGGACAACTGTCCTACCACCCCCTACATCCTGTTTAAATTTGTAGCTAAAGATAAACTAAATAACATTAAAAGTAAACAAGGATAATAAAAACATTAAAATATGTTGTTAGGTGGGTGTAAAAACAAATATTAAATAAGCCACTAGCCATTAGTTTGAGTGACAAAATACTCAAAACATTTTTTATTGAAAGGAGAACAAAAACCTTGAAATTCTAACTAAAAAAGCAAAGAATCCGAATTTAAAATTCTCTCAAATTAGAATTCTGAACTTGCTTTTCAGTTAACAGTTTCTCAATATTAGGATTGATTTTCGAGGTTAATAACAGATGAGTCATTTCAAATGCAGCTGTGGGCCATGAGGTGTCTGGCATGCCTTGGGTTGGCCACTTCTGTTCTAAATTTATAGATATAATGTTTCTATTATTTTATTTTCTAACAATCACTGAATCATGTTGAATGATTTATCATAATAACTGAATTCAGATATCTTGGTAAGTCATTCAAAATTATTCATAAATGTTAACATTTATGAATCAGCTGTTTCCCATAATAGAATTACAAGAGATTTTTGAAAAGAATAAAAATATTTATTACAATAATTTTATTTATAAGAAAGTTTTAAGAGGTTATAAAATACTAATCATCAGGAAATAAGTATGTTTTACATATTACTCCAAAGTTAAGCCATATTGCTGTAAATATGTCACTGCAATTATTCTATTCCAAATAATACTACAAAGTTATTAGTGCAATGATTATTGTATTCAATAGTAATTATAATTATTATTATATTAGTATTGAATATAATAATAATACAATAGTTTATCTACAATGACTATTGAATGGTTATTATAAATGTAGAATATTTAATTCTGCTCAAAATAAATATTTAATTGACAAATTTAAACAGAGAGGAGTTACTTTTTGTGTCCTCCAATGACTTAATTCAGATTCCAAAGATATTAATTTAATTTTGTAAGATCTAATGGATGAAAATACATTTCCATAAGATATAAAATATGCATACAAAGGATAATGCACTTGTATCTTTAAAAAGGAAGATCATTGACTCCCATGTGCAACTAAATGCATGTACAAATTAATAAGCTTTCATTTTAAAAGAAGAGAGGGAAAAAAGGTATTAGAAAATTTTAGCTTTAGTTTTATTTTAAGAAATTAAATTTCAGTTTCATTTGTAAATAAGTGGTTTTAAGTAAATCTTAAAGTAGTGTAATTTGTATCATTTTTTATGTCAATATTATTTATTATCTTTCTAGATTTTTTTATAATTTTATCATAATAGAAATAGTTTCACTAGAAGTATTTTTGTACTTACTAGTAAGGTTCATCTATTATCTAATTATCAAAATTAATTATGCATTAATAAATGTATGATCATAAGAAGACTTCCCAGTAGAAGCTTTATTTTTCAAATAACAATTTCAAAAATTAACAGTAAATATCATTTATAAATACATTTTTAAAAATAAAATAATTAACTCAAAATTTTTAATGATCAAATCAGAACAAAATTCAATAAACCTCTTTATTGAACATAATTCTTATTTTGATGAATTCAGGAGAGAGATTAAAGATATTCAGACTTGTAAGTCTTACTATCAGAATTATATTGTTTTGAATGTAATGATGTCAATGTGTTAATTTCCATGTTTTTCTTTAATGAAAAAATAACATTATCATCACCACCTTATTCAAAATAGTTGATATTAAGTAAATATACACTCAAAATAATGTAATGCCAAGATTAAGGTGTATCCTGAAGTCTTTAAACAGTTTCTGGAATTCATGGAAATTAGAATCATGTTCAATAATTCATAAAGTTTATTGAACACGTTCAGAGTATAGTTATTAAAACTTCAAATCAAATAAGTAAAAAATAATTTTTGAATTAAATAGTTGTCATCATGTGCTGAGGATAATAACAAGCAGTTATCATCATCAGCATGTAATGGCAACTATTTAACTGTTTAATTAGATTTTACTTCTTTCACATCATGTGCAAAGATGTGAAAGAAAGAAATTTAAAGTAATCATACAATTGATACAGTAATTTTTATGTTTTAATTTTGTTTTATATATCCAAGTATTAATATTAAAATTTAATAAAATATAGTACTGTATGTAATTTGTCAAATTATAAAAAAATTTTTTTGATTATTTATATTTTTGATTTAAATTTATTTTAAAATGGAATATAAATTGTATAATTTTATATTTAAATTATAAAGTATTAACGTTGTAATTTGAATATATGTTAATATTGAATAGTATTGTGATTATAATGACTGCCTGGTATTCATGATATGTGATATTCATGGTATATTTATGCAGCAGACTTCTTTCAGTATGAAAAAATGGAAAAAAATGGAAAAAAAATATATAAAGGAGCAACTTACCTATAGAAAATCCAAATATTGCACAGTAGAGAATCAACAAATAATAGTTATTGATGAAAGGACTAATTGCTGTTGCAACACCACCAAGAACCAATGCACAATTGTTAATAAATAGCGCATTTATGTGCGGTCTATCAGACATCCATCCGCTAAAAACACGTCCAACGGTATTAGTTATACCAATTGTAGAAAGGAGAATAGTTGCATCTTCATCCGATATTCCTATCAACACGGCACGATCTATGATGTAGATGAAAGGTACGAAAAAGCCTGCCAAGGTCAGAAAACCAGAAACTGCGAGTAAAATAAAAGTTGGACTGGTTAGCAACGATAGATCCAACATCTGTCGAAAGGTATCTGTCATGGCGGAGGAACAGTGATACCATAATTCGTTGTTCGAACTTTCAACTTCCTTTGGGATTTTCGTAACACTGGCGTGATAGTGTTTCATGTCTGGCTGCGAACGAAATTCCGGTAATCGAAGTAAACTGGCGCTGAAGAGGATATCTTGTCTGTAGAAAGGTCGCAACATTTCTGGCTGGCATGACCCCTTTCTTAAAAATTTAGACGGTGATCTTCTCTCCCATCTCGAAGAAGCCCTTCTCGCTACTTCACTGTAAGGATTAGAGGGAAGACAAGGAAGCATATCGCTGCTAACGACTTCGCTATAAGAAGGGGGTGGACTATTATTGCTTTCCGCGTGAGAAATAGTAGAATCGGTATTACTTCCTCCACTGGTCTGATCGGTATATGATTTGTTTTTCACAGAATGCGAATTGGAACCGTTCGAATTCTTCCACTGAGAACCGAATTGAGAACCGTTTTGGCCTATGAGCAATCCATTGCTGACAGATTCGTCTGAATCCCATTTGTTCAACATATCTCTAGCTTCTTTGATCCTTAGCAAAAGTGGTTTAGCGGGTTCGGGTGGTAACGGCTCGAGTTTTCTCTTGGGTTCCAGAGGTCTAAAAAACGATCCGAAAACCATGCAGTTAAGAATTACGGCACTCAAAACCAGCAAACAACCTTGCCATCCATACTCGTTGACCATAATCTGAACTACTGGTGCCAATGTGAAAGCACCAACTCCCGATCCACAGACAGCGATACCCGTTGCCAATGCTCTTTTTTGATCGAAATAAAAACCAACGGTTACTATTGCTGGCAAAAATATGAAGCCAAATCCTATTCCTGTAAATAAAATAAAATAAAAAAATAAGTCAAATAGCCAATGGACATATAAATATATGAGAACTAATGTTTGACTACTAGTACTATATTAAAAATTGGTCCAACCGTTAACTTATATTTTAAAATTTGGCAATAAAAATATATAAAGTTAAGGGGAAAAAAACATTAAATAAAATACTAACCTCCTAGTAACCCCATAGAGACTATGAGAAAATTAACGCTGGTTGCGAAGTAAGATAAAGCAAAAGCCACAGCTGCAACGATACTTCCAGCAATGGTTACGGGACGACAACCATACGTATTCGCTAGGGCACTAACAATTGGACCTGTAATGATGATAATCCAGGATTAATAAAATAAAAGTTGCAACATTCACTTTTATAAGTCTTAATAAAATAAATGCGCTTAATGCTTATCCACGTTGCAGTGGCATTCATGATTCAAAACTATTTCATTTGCTTTAGTGTAAATGCATCCTTCTTTTATGTTTAATTTACTTTTTTTTTTTTTTTTTTTTCTTTCTTAATGAAGTATATAAGTGAAAATCACTCGAAGCGAGAGGCCTTTTAATCTCTCAGAGGAGATCTTCAGTCCTTTTCTTACAATTCAGTATTAAAGAGCAATTCATTGCAGCTGAAAGTTGTGTTTTAAGGAGAAGTACAAATGAAAATTGTTTAGGAATTAAAAATTACATAAAATTCCATAATTACAATTTAAAATTTATGCAGAAAATATTCGCTTTCTTCAGTTCTAATTTTAAAGTTTCCGTGTCAGATTAAATTTTGTCAGAAAGCATATTATAATTTGCAATTCGTTTAAATTAAAAACATTTTTCAGACGATAAATTTGTGTAAAGCATGGAATTATAATATAGAATTAGATAATATAAAGCAAATATTATATATTAATACATATGCAAATAACGTTTCATTGTATAAACGTTATGTGACAAATGGATATTCATATGCGCCTTACATCTGCTTCCCTGCCAATATCCTGTGCTCGACAGAAAAGCTTGTATTTTTTTTATTCTCTCAAAAACTTCAATGTACAGTTATTTAAAAATAATTTAAGACATTTTAAAGTAAAATGCAGAACGGACTATAATTTTCTGTTTTTATAAATAATTGTCAAATTTTATTCTCCTATGCAAAAATAAATAAAACTTGAATAATAATAAAAGGATTCATTTATATTTAATAAATTAATTGATATGATATTAGAGATACAAATGTGCAAATTTTAAATGTTTCAAAAATTAAAAGCATAAGATTCGATATATCAATGAGTTCATTATAAGATGCCATTTAGAGGAGTGCGTTTTTTATAGGCATGATTCTGTTTAATGCATTCTACAAAGAATGCACTAAACAGAACCATGAAAAAATCTAATTTTTCTATTGATAATCAGTATTTTGAAAGTTTTATTCCCTACAAGAATCCACTGAAACAATTTGTAGATAATCTAGGTAACTGTCAATAGACATTTTAATTGTTAAAACGTAATTTTTTAAAAATATTTAATAGAATATATTTTAAAATATTTAAATAAATAAAAGTTAAAATGATGACAAAAATTTTAAATTTACATATTATGTATTCATAATAATAGAACTTGAGAAAATATTTCCGCATTATAGAATAAATATATTAAAATTACTGTACATTTAAAGTGAAGCGCAACGAAGCTATAAATTGGGTTTTAAAATTATCTCGTCTGAGCACTGTAAACTTTGTTATGTAATTCGAGATTGACGTACTTTAGGTGAGAAGACATTGATGTTTTGTGAAGTTCACGTTTGTAGAAACTGGCAATCTTTCACTTAAAAAATACTTTCGATAAGTGTTGGTGGCTTTGGCTTCCGCTTTAGTAAAGATGCCGGTGAAGAAATGTTTATTTTCGTTTGGACGTCTTGTAGTTACTAGTGCTTGTGCTATTGCCAATTAGCAATTCAATGCAAATATATAATTTAAGGGAAAAGTTTGTTCTTTCATGATAAGTTTACGAGTGTTGAGGATTTATGGAATTAGAAAATTGAATATGAATGATAAGAAACTTTGAGGACAGGTCTTTAAAAAACAAATTAAACTATAAATTTTAATTTTAAAATATTTTATCATTCAAAAATCAGTTGAATTATTCAGTGATTGCTGTATTTTTATACTTATTAAATAATATGTTTAGATGTAATTAAATACATCTAAACATACGTAACGTAACGTACTAACGTAAAATGGTGACATGTTGCTCCTCCTTTCAAGTTTGCCAGCGTTTTTCTAAAGTTAAATGGCCAAATTTTACAAAGCACTAAATTTGATTTAAGTTACTTAAAACGGTACTTATCACTGTTCCATCGACAAAAGAGTTTTAGAACCTTCAGAGCACCATGTACTTACATGCGGCTGAAAAACAGATAACGCTAAGTCTATATGGAAGGTGAAGGATAATAAAATAGCGACAACATCGCCACCAATGAGAAGGCATTCATAAACTCCGTTGGAATAGGTTAAGTTCAGATCAGTGATGGATCCAGAAGAACCCAAAGCGATGGTTAAAAGTCCCTGTAGTGCTCTATGGATGAAGTATAATTATTCTTATTATTTATGGTTCTCTACCACTATATTTTAAATGGTTTAATGTGTTGTGTCCAACTTTTTACTGCTTTGTTTACATTGTCACTGTAATGTTTTTTCTTGTGAGTTATGCTTTTGCCTGTAAAGCAACACTTCCGATTGTGATAGCAACATTCAGAAGCGAAAAACAATGAATTTTGTATATTGTAGTGGATGTGCAATATTGTACCCAATAAATGCATGTATTAATTATGATTTTATGATAGCAAGCGTTTTACTTCTTAAATCAGCGTTTTTCTCCAAACCTTACATTATTTTGCTTTCCTGAAGATTGGCATCTCTGCAGATAGCCTATATGTTCTATTGCCTGGCGTATATTAATGAAACAATCAATCAATCATTATAAATTTTCTATTTTACAGTTCTTCCTCCTTTCTCTCCTTCATATGCATTCTTTTTAATTTCTAATTTTTCATGTAATTGCTGAGAATTTAATGCTTAAACAATGGCGAAGATTCCACTTATTGCAAACGTTTAGTTTTATATAAAAAATTATAATTATTGAATGTAATATGTAAAAATATTTAAAAATTCAATATTTAATTGTACAATGTCAAATAAATTTTAATAATTTCTTCTAGTTTTAAGAGGCTTTGAAGAAAATGAAAAATGGAGATATATATATATATATATACCTAAACGAATGTTTATATTCAATTTTCTTTAAAATTTGCACATAAAATACGTTAGACATGACGAAATATTTTCTTTCATGACACAATTTAACTAAATATTTGATATTAATTCTACACTGTAATATGTTTCAGGATTTCTTCCAAGAAACGATAAAGAAATGTTAGAATACATTTAAATAAATATATTCTTTCAGTTAACGAGTATTTTTTTCATGAAAAACATACCTATTTTAAAAATTAATTTTTTTTTTAACCGATTAAATACATTAAATTTGCATTTTTGTAAATTTTCATCTTTTTTTCTTTGATTTTAAAGTATTTAACATAAACTTTTAACATTTTTAAATATAAAATATGATAAGTATGAAGTTTTAAAAATTAATTATTAATTAAAACTCCAATTTTTAATTAATTAAATAAAAAATTATAAAGGAATGTTCATAAGAAACTTAAGGAAATTTATCATTGGCTAATGATGCTATTATAAAAAAATATTTACTGTTTTGTAAGGTTTAAAGTATCCATTTTAAGGCTATCGAAATTAACATTTACGTAGAACTTTCGTCATTTATATACATTAAAAAGATGGTCAACATCAGAAAAATGACGTCGATTTAATAATCAAAGATTATTCTACTTATCTAAAAAGATAAATATTTAATTTTCAAAGGCTAAACTGTCCTAATTTCGATTTTGTTTCGCAAAATTTATTATTCTTTATGGCAAATCAATTGCAACTTGAGGTATTGACTGAATTGCATTTGATATTATAACTCAATATGCTAATTTCTTTAATCAAAAATTTTTTCGGACAAGTGAGTAGATAAGAGCTGTTAAGGTTGTAAAATTATGAAATGTGATACGAGATTTTTAAGATTTTTTGGCATAAAATGATTAACCTTTTCTGTTTAATTTTAGAATAAAAAATCGTACTTTGATTCAGAGATTTTAATAATTGATCTCAAGTTATTTATGTTTTTAATGTTATTAAAATAAACACAATCCTTTATCTTGTATATTAATTTGTATTTTTCGAATCTGAAGACGTGGAATTTAATTTCTAAATTTAAACGAATTAAAAATTTCTAAATCAAATCTCAAGAAGTGGTATTAAAAAAATTTAGAATTTTAGAGAATTATAATTTTTTAATACAAAAACTGTATGAAATTTTATTGTAATATATTACATATCAAATTGATAAATATATATTATAATGTTTAATTTGTGCTTTAATTGCTAGTTTTATGGATTAAATTATCTCGAAATAAACCGCTAGAGATATGCATAATCGTGTCAATAATTAGAGACATTATAGAAATTACATGTATTGCACGTACACGTGTGTTAAAAATTTTTTTTCTTTTAGATAAATTAAAGTTTACATAAAACATTAAATTTTTCTTCCTTTTTAAAAATTATTTCATTATTTGATAGGATGTAAGATTAAAAATTTACATAAAATATTAGATTTTGAAATTTACAATAAGATCAATTGCAACTTGTGGCATTAATTTCATTGATGATTTCCGCTGCTACTTGAGATATTTTATGGAATAAATTGTCTCTTGAGTCATTTACTGCAATGAAAATTGGACTCTATTGCACAGAATTCATTGCTACTTGAGGCATTGACCTCCATTTTAAAGACTCACTTGCCATTTGAGATACTACCTCGTTGCATCAATCTATGCAATGATGCAATTGATACATTTTTAATATATTTATTAAAATTTGAAAAAAAATATTAAAACTAATATGTAATTATAATTAAGAATATCTGAATAATATTTAATGTATTTTCTCATCTGTTATCCAACCAATCTTTATCTATTCATCTTGGATCAACGATGAAACCACTCTAATACATTATCCATTTGATAAGGTTAATAAAATAATAAACAATAAAATCATTAAGAATGTTTATTATTTTTCATAATTATAACTTTATAATAACTTATTTTAAGTTAACAAAACAGAGAGCAGAATTACCTGCCATTAGGTAACATCCAGCTTGCAAGGATCCTATCCACGCAATTTTCGCTTTGCTTTCATTGAAAACGGGAGTAAATTCTTTCAGGAATATTCCAAAGGAGAAAATGACGCCATCGACGATAGCGTTACACATAAAAGATGCGATGACAACTACCCAACCCCATCCTCCATCGGGNCAGAAGAATACGATTACAAAAATTATTATCATAATACAAATAATATAGAATATAATCGTTATCTGGAATGAGAATTATGCCCGATATCTCGGTTATTTGTAAAATTATCAAAGATGTTATCTGTTACCATTCTATAAACAGAAAGAACTAAGATAAACTTCTCATACTATACAATTCTACGTTATATATATATGAATTTACTTAAAATGTCATTTTTAATAATAAAATTAGTTGTATTGTGTGTAAAAATATTTGTTTTTTAATTATTACTTAAATTTTTTAAAATGAAATCTTGCATTTTCTACTCCATTTTTAGTTTATCTTTCCTACTCTATTAGAAATTTCATTTTGGATGCTCTTAGTGATAAATTAAGCATCTACACAGCATAATAATTAGATTCGTTTAGTAAATTGGATCATATAAATCCTATAACATTAAAATAAATAATTAAGTAAAGCAGGCTAAGTCTATTAAGAAATCCTTTTCCCTCGACCTTGGATTTTCACTGGAATCTATAATGTTAAATCTATAACTGAAATTTATACAGATGATTTCAAGTAGAATTTGGTGTAATTTTGCATACAGGAAGCGGAAGTTATTCTAAAAAACAAGTAACAATCTATCCTAATTCCCTTTTATAAGTGCCCAAGATATACATATACAGATAGAGATTGTATATATTATAAGTGTAATGTCAGGATCATGTGCACTTATCATTATCTATAACAATTATCAAAACAAAATAAGACATTTTAAAGCAGAAATTATCAGAATAAATATCATTTTTCGACGAATCAATATATATTTATATACGATTATAATTTATTTGCTAAGAATTATTTTGATAAATTAAGTGAAAAAGATTAAGATTTAATAACTTGCAAATGATTCATATCTTATTGATACTCTCATGTTTACAGGCTGGCTCAGAAGTCAGTTAACTACTGTAAAGACTAAATTGCTGGTTTATTAAATTAATTTATTACTAACACACTATAAAATGAGATCCTTCTTGTCTAAAACACAAATTATGAATAACGCTTTGGCATACTTTCAGAATACGATTACAAAAATTTCAGAAAGTCAACAATTTCAGAAATTGTTGACTTTCTTATAAAAAAATACGTTATTGACTTTTGAGCCATCCAACACAATGAGATTGCTCTTTAAGAAATCAGGATGATCTGAATGAAGCTATTTGCATAGAACCTAATTAAATAATGATTCTACTCGAATATCAGGAAGACGATTAATCACTTTTCTACTAATTACAAATATATATGTAATTATAATTAAGAATATCTGAATAATATTTAATGTATTTTCTCATCTGTTATCCAACCAATCTTTATCTATTCATCTTGGATCAACGATGAAACCACTCTAATACATTATCCATTTGATAAGGTTAATAAAATAATAAACAATAAAATCATTAAGAATGTTTATTATTTTTCATAATTATAACTTTATAATAACTTATTTTAAGTTAACAAAACAGAGAGCAGAATTACCTGCCATTAGGTAACATCCAGCTTGCAAGGATCCTATCCACGCAATTTTCGCTTTGCTTTCATTGAAAACGGGAGTAAATTCTTTCAGGAATATTCCAAAGGAGAAAATGACGCCATCGACGATAGCGTTACACATAAAAGATGCGATGACAACTACCCAACCCCATCCTCCATCGGGTGGTTCCACCACTGGTTCGGCCTCTTCGTTTTCCTTTTTCTGTTCTTCCATCTGCTGATCGTTGGTCATTGAAGAAATACAATTCGATAATAATTCACTTAATCACTTTATTTCTGTTTTAACAAAATATATATACACAATCAGTTTTCAGCTTCCCATTCATACTAATTAATAAATTCTTATCGCGATTTAAAATTCTCTTAGTGTAAATATTTACGAGATCGTATTTTTTGATTAATTTTAATTGAGGATATGTTTTCCCCTCTCTAATCTCCGAATGTTATGTAACTACATTCTAAAAACAATGTATATGTTACAAGTTTTTAAATATAATTAATTCTTAAAATAAATCATTTTCTAGAATCTTGGAATAATTGCAGTCCAACCAATGAGTTTTGAGCATAATAAACCTGTACTTTTATTTAGGCCTCAGACACGCACGTTTGTCAATAGTCTTGCTCAAAAACCCGGATTTTATTACTAGTTAGGAACCTATAATGTCAAGATATCGTACAATTACTTGATATTGTACATAAACTTAATACATAAACTTAAATCATATAGTAGGCGCCTCACGAGTCCTTGCTAGCCAAGAGATCGCATAACTTAAATACCACTACTGAAAAAGATCAATAGTACTTTTACTCGAAGCATAATCTAACATTAAAATAGTCTTTAAATATAATTAATTTTATAAATTAATTAAATAATTACAATTTATAATTAATGAAAATTCAGAAAATTCGTTAGCTTTTTGGAGGAATTGCTCTCCTGTGAGAAGCTCAAAATAATAACGATATTCTAAATTTAATTATATATTAATTAAGCGATAAGCGATTAAGGATTAATTATATAGTAACTTAATATATATAATATAATATATATATATATTAAGAAAATAAAACTAAAAAAGTGTTATATCTAGATAACATTTCCAAACTTTTGAGCACTGTATCATCTAAATTATGTTTAAGTATGCATTAACAGAGGCGTATTAAATAGCTTAACACAAACATAAATACATATTTTAACATAATTAGATTCTTATCAGTATATATAAATTATATGATAATTAATTTAACCAAATAACCTCGAATTTTTTAATTAATTTTTTATGTTTTAATTAAATACTTTCATAAGAGAATTCTTATGCAAAGAATCGTAATTAAATTTTGAATGTTTTTTATGACTGAAGATATTGAATCTTAATGATGATTGATATCAAATAATTTAAAGTTTTAATCGTTAAATATGTACAGTACATTAAACTTTATTTTTATGATAAATTTCACCTAATTGATTTATTATTAAGTAAATGGATTAGTTTGTTGGCAATCAAGAAAATCAATTAAGATCTGTTGCAATGCGATAATTTCTGAGAATTGAAATGTTTTCGTGCAAATATTTTGAAGACCATATGCAGAATATTGCAAAAACACCAGTACAAGTTAGTAATAGGTAGCTTAATGACTTGAAAGAGTAAGATAAAAATTTTTGGAACATGTTTTATGACATTATTCTAGGAATATCGAACCAATTTATGTTATCGAGTCGAAAAATATATGTCAAAAACAGCAATTAACATCTTTACCTGTTCAAAAATATTATAGAAAACAATTTTTTAATACGAATTCCATTAGTTAAATCCTCTAGTTTTACACGTTGACACCATATTTAATATTCTCCAGGATTTAATATTTGTTTTTGACTATATTTTTGTTAAATAATTCAATTGTAAAAAATTGAATAATCGTACTACGAATTATGGATATGCAAATATATTGCAAGTGTTAAGTACTGATTTATAATGTGGATTAGTTAATAGAGAGGTTGAGGCGCACGTTTTAAACGTGTAAACGTGTACGTGTGACGTTCGGCGCCGCTTTCCCGTAAGCCTAAAAGTTTGACGATGGTGTTTGGAATGTCGAGCGTGATTCCACCAACTATCCAAACACCATTGTCAAACTTTTAGGCTTACGGGAAAGCGGCGCCGAACGTCACACGTACACGTTTACACGTTTAAAACGTGCGCCTCAACCTCTCTA